CCCGCCAGTGCACAAATTTTTGTGCACTGGGCCTCTAGTTATTTATAAACTTATTAGTCTCTAAGATCAGGATTTCTAAAATTGTAATTCCTGATTTATTTGCTTTAACCAGCAGATTTCATCTACTACCTCTTCCTGAAGTCCTAAATCTTTTATCAAAAATTCAACTAAAAAAAGTTTTTTGGCTTTGAAAAAGACAATTAAAAGCCATCTGTATTTAATTTTTCTGTATAGGAATCCCAATCACAGAAGATTTATTACTAGAATAAAGGGAGTTGTACTCAAGTAATTTTTAAAGGGTTCCCAAGCAGAACCCTGGGTTGGTGAAAGTAACAAAAGGGAGCCCAGTAATTGTTTTCTGTTTTTGAAATTAATGTAGTTACTTAGTGGTATACAGACAACTAGACCTATGGAATTATATGAGTTTATTATGCCAACTCAAGAATAGCTTTTGCTGATTTGTAGTTTTATAGTAAATATGTGAGGACTCAATATAGAAGGTCCCCACTTAACAATGGTTTGACTTAACGATTTATCAAGTTGGTGCAAAAGTCATTAACTATACAACCTTTTTTTTTTCTCTTCAGCACAGTATTGAATAAATTGATATACTCAACACTGTTACAAAATAGACTGTGTTAGATGATTTTGTCCAATTATAGGCTAATGTAACTCTTTTGAGCACATTTAAGGTGTGCTAAGCTAAGCTATGATGTTTGGTAGGTTAGGTGTATTAAATGCATTTCGACTTCCGGTATTTATGATGGGCTTATCAGGATATAACCCCTCTGTAAGTTGAGGAGCATCTGTACTTAATGAAACCTTTCTTAGCCATTCAAAACCTTTTGCAATGCAATGTTTAGAGAGGCAGAAGACCTCAGAGCAGTTAACATGGTTTGCCAGGTTTCCACAGTTAGCTGGGACAATGCTGGGAAGAGAAATTTCATTTTCAAGTCCAGCAGTTTACTGCCACATAAATCCTTGATCTCCAAAAGGCTAAAAAGTTGCTGAATATTGGCATATTCTATGTATGACCGTTGCCTCCATATACATAGAACTTAAGCTTAGAAGCTACTGTCTATTACAAGTAATTTTAATTCACACCTCGAAATACGGGTGAGACTGAGTGTACACACCCGATGCCCACGTTTTACAAACCTTGGCAGTGAGATGGCATTACTTGTTTCCAGATATCTATGTCTGCATGATCTCCTCTGCACACAACGTGGCAGCACAAGGGAAGTACATTGCCATAGTCAGTACAACTGTGGAGACCAAGGAACCCGAGAAAGAAATCAGACCAGCTTTGGAGCTCTTGGAACCAATTGAACAGAAGTAAGTGACGTGATCATTTATATGAGCTAAAATCCTAGATTAATTTTGGATTTTGCTCCATGGTGGGGCAAACCCAATGAGAAGCAAGCAAGCAACCATCATCTCCACCAATCTCATCCTTTGGGTTTTGAATTTCAAGCAAAGCAGTGAATGGGTGTGGGGTCAGCTCACCTGCTCACTTAATTCTTTTTCTCCTTCAGATTCGTTAGCATCAGTGACCTGCTTGTACCAAAAGATTTGGGAACAGAAAGCCAGGTGAGTGTGGTGATCTGAAAAGGGTATTATCAGGTTTTATTGGGAGATTTCCTTAGTTTCAAGTCTTTCTAATTTTTATTTTCAGATCTTTATTTCCCGTACATATGATGCTACAACTCACTTTGAGACAACCTGTGATGATATTAAAGACATCTATAAGAGGATGACAGGATCAGAGTTTGACTTTGAGGAAATGAAGCGCAAGAAAAATGACATCTATGGGGAAGACTAACAGCAGTACATGTTATCTAATTAGGACAGACTTAAAATTGGCAAATAATGCATATTGTATGAAATCAGTATTGTAAGGCCTGCTTTTATAATCCAAACTGAGAGATTGCAGAGCACTGCACCAGTAAATATTCCTCCCCTTTCTAATATCATGTATTAACTTGTATTCATGGAGTGGCTGTTCAGAATTGGCAGGTGACCATATTCTGTACTGTTTAACCAATGCTGGCTTTTTTTTCTAGTGAAGGATAAGTTTTAAAAAAACATTGTGATACTGATACAAAGATCTTGATACAGTATTTGTATCTTTTAATCAGTGTAGCCTTTACAGTTATGTGCTTCTGCTGCTCAAGAGCTGGATCAGTACAATTTGCGTGCCATCTGTCCTTAATATTAAGGAGATTTGAAATCAAATATTCCATAATTTGGGAAAGCATATCGAAGTTTTCACTATAGATTTACATTTTGGTCCTGTCAAGTATTATGATAGTGTCTATGTGGCCTTACCACAGGTTTGGTTTATGTGGGCTTAAAATTCTGAACTCCAGACTTCAGTAGTGATTTTGGGGGAAACCTGTGTGTGTGTTTTAATCTAATTGATGAGAGCAAAGGAGATAGAAAACTATCATAAAGCAGGTAAATGTAGAAGCTTCTATCATATCCCAGGTGTGGCCTTTTCAACGGACCAAGCTGCAATGCAGTATTGATTTGACAGAGCCTCTCCTTCAATGATGTCTGCCTCAAAATGGCTCCAAATGATTTCTGTACTGCAAAATAAAGCCAGACTCTGGAAACCAAGTCCTTCTCGATTGGTCTGTTTGTGCCCTGATGTTTAAGAGCTATAAGTATTGTGCTGGCCATGATGCAGTTGTTTATTCCCTCAGTAGAGCTGAAACTGATGCTAGGAGAGATGCTGGAATGGAACTGTGCTCAGTTACTGACAGCATGTGAAGCTTCAAACTTGGACGGATAGAGAATCAAGTCTGGCTTCATTGTGAGTAAACCCTAAATTATACTCTTGACTCAGTATTACTGTGAAACTCTTGATATTCTTTTTTTTTTTTTTTGGTTAATCCACACCCAAGGATATTTTTCTGTTGATGTTTTAGAGAGAGTGGAAGGGAGGAGGGGAGAGAGAGGGAGAAACATTGATGGGAGAGAGATACATTGATTGGTTGCCTCCTGAATTTGTCCCAATCAAGACCAGGGATGGGGTCTGGTACGTACCCTTGACTGGAATCGAACCTGGGGCCATTTAGTCTGAGGGCCTACGCTCTAACCACTGAGCAACTGGCTAGGGCTTAGATATTCTTAGTAGTGGTTAACAAGTACTTTTTTTTTTTTTATTCAAATGCAAGTTACTGCCTTTGATAATTCTGCTTATAGGTAGCATTTGTAAGAGAACAAGTTAATTATCAGATGGATAGGTGCTTTAAAAGATTTTCATGTAATGTAAATTGTAGTTAGAAATTGTTTTTAACTGGGACCTCCTCTCTCTCTTAGCATTATACAGTAATAGCTACCAGACGAATGAAGACATCTTAACTGTATTCTTATAGGCTGAATTTGATTCTTACAGTTATGTCTAAAGGACATATTAGGACACATGACTAATCTGTTAAAGTAATTAGGATAATAATTTAGATTATTATTCAGATTATCTGATTTACTTTAGCTCAGTTTCTAAATCTCACACTACTTGTTTTGGCCAGATACTTCTTTGTTATGGGGGACTGTCCTGTGCATTGTATGATGTTTAACAGCATCTCTGACATCACTTCTAGATGCCAGGAGCACCTCCCTAGCCCGAGAACCAAAAATGTCTCCAGATGTTATAACATATCCTAGGGGACAAAACTGCCAAGTTGAGAACCACTACTTTATGTCAGGGGTGGGGAACCTTTTTTCTGCCAAGAGCCAAAAGGATATTTCTAACATTATTCTCAGACCATACAAAATTATCAACTTAAAAATTAGCCTGCTACATAGTCAAACATGCAAAATGTACAAAGTGGTTAGTATTAAATAGAAACCAAAGATATCAGGACTTTATGTCCCAGGCCAATGGGGTTCAAAAATGATGAAGGCACAATTTCTGTAAGAGCCTATAGTCCAGGTTAGACCCATTGTTCTGTGACTTGGTTAAGTGTTAAAATAAAGAAAGGGTGGTATGGGGACTGATGGCCTTGGGGTTGGATGTTGGAAGGCTTTTCAGTAAGGGGAGATGAACATTTGAGGTACAACTTGAAAGATGACTATGTTGGACAGACAGCACCTGACAGGTGGTAGTAGTAGGTGCTCAATAAATATTTCCTTTTCCTTAGTAATTTCAAATCAACTCAGTGTTATGATCCTCTTATTAGAATCTTATCCCTGAGGTAAAAAATGGGTTTCTAAGCAAAAGCTAGTGTCAAATAATTAAAACTTATAGTGAGATTGGCACTTTTGTTTGGGTAAGAAGTATACAAAGTAGATGAATGGCTTTTGAAAGAAGTTTCTGTATAGTTCTAACAGCCCCATAGAAGGGCAAGATGGAAAGTCCTATGAATGCCCTTTTTTTCTATGGCTTGCAGCTCAGTGCACATGACCTTGGGAGGGGAAAACACTGGGCGGGTCTGCTGGGACTAAACTGACAGATGAGGGCCAAAATGATATAAGTGATAGTATTCCTCTGGAACCCAGTCATTCTTGCTTAAGTGGCTTAAGTGATACAACTCTCCTGACAAACTCCAATTTTTGCTATGAAGTCCTTGCAGAAACAATTGACTTTTTAGTTGTCTTTATTAGAAAAATGAAACAAATTAGTTATAAAAACCTGTGTTCCAAATTGATGCTAAGTGTCTTACAAATGTTTTTTGCTTGGTTTTCATGTTTAAAGATTTTAATTATTTCTAACATCATAAATAAGTGATTATTCTCAGAGTTGATTTTGTAAGTGCACTATTTACAAAATAAGTGGAAGATGACAGTTTATAAATTTGACCATTTTGGAAAAAAGGTTAACTTTATGTAGTGTTTGAATAATAGCAAATGAAACACTTAAGAGATTATAGTCTTTACAAGGGTAATAAAAACCTTTAAAACAGACTAATATGCATTTCTTAAGTGTTGCTGACATTAACATGCAAAAATAAAGCTATTGGTTAAAATAGACTAATTTTTGCTACAACTGAGTTAACATGTTTATAAAATTATTTTTAACTAAATTCAATTAATAGCTTTAAATTACAATTAATTTAAAACAAAATATTTAACACTGCAACCCAAAGTGAATGTGTCATTGTAAATGAAGCCAGACATTTAAACAAAATGTGAAAAAATGAAAGGAATTTTCCCCTAAGTTGTAGAACATTGATTTGTTTCAATTATGAGAAGGGAAGACTTTTTAATGTGTCTTAAAGTTTTTTAAAGAAAAGGGAAAATACTAATTTGTTGTTGGCATCATTGATGTCTAGGCAAGTTACAGTTGAATAACCTGGGTAAATAAAATTGATAATTTCATCTTTAAAACAAAATAACCAACCATTTTATAAATAGTATGCTACCTAATGGGAAAATTTCTATGCATTGTAAAGGTTACATCATCTGTCTTGGTGATCAGGATGAACTGCAGGTGAAAATGCACATCACAGAGAAAATGGGTAATTGGGTTGGTTATTTCATTAGTGGATACTTTAGAATTTCATTCCTAAATAGAGTTATTTTTAATTTACAGCGTGATAACATATAAGGTAAAGAACAGAGTTTTTGAACAACTGTTTGCCTCATAGACACAAACGTCAGTATCTTCCCTTAATTCCAGCTGACATGGGAGAGTTGCAGAAGTGTTCTTACCAATAGCTACTCCTAAATGGAGCTGCTACTTTTTGTATATTTTCAATAAAGTTATTTACATCTGTAACAAGGATGCCACTATTTTCAAAGACTTCTCTGGAGACAGGCTTCTCTGTAAAAAGAAAAATATCCTTTTTTGGTAAAAAATGCATTAATGTACTTTCTAAAAAGTATCATTGACATATAATATTATATTAGTTCCAGGTGTATAACAGTTATTCAACATTTAAATGTACCTTTTTAAAAGTAGCAGAACCCCCTTTGTTTAAAAAAACTTGTGTGAAAGTTCCTAATGTGGGAGGAAAAAGGAGTCTGGTTCTAGTGAAAAAAAAAAAAAAAAAGTTTGAAGTTTTGGGAGCAGCCCCTTCCATGGGAGGTGGGAAGAGTGCTGGGAAACCACTGATAAATGACAAAAGAGTCATTCCTTAATTTTTAAATGTTTGGTGAAGATTCACATGAAACATTAAAAATTAGGGATTAAGTATAAAATTAAGTAAGGAGATGATGAAACTTAATAGAAAGAAACTGTTTGAGGACTATTAAATAGACAGTACCCCTCCTCACCCAGCCATTATCAGGCTAACAACTGATCTTGGCTCTATATCCACATTTATCTTATGGCATTCAATGACTCCTAGAGTTGACCCATTTGGGCATTAACTGATTGATGATATAAAACTGAGGCAGTACTAAGTCTGTATGACTTTACCTGTTAGGAAGACAGCAAACCTGGCATGGATATGCTGAATTTGCAGGTTTAGGAGACATTTTAAATGTTCTGCTTTTGTTGATGACCGAGAGTCACACTGGTGATAATGAAGCAATTCAATGATATTTGCACTCTGGTAGGATTTCAATATTAAGTTCTTCTTATGTGCAATTGAATCCACTCTGGAAAATACATAGAAATGTTAAATTCAGATTCAGTGTAAGTTTCTTTTTTACTGTATCTTAATTTTGTTTTATTCCTAAATCTTCTCTTGCCTTCACTATACTTACATTCCTAGTTTAACTACTTCCCATAAAACCAACTGAGATCCTTTGTCCCTGTTCTTTTCTACCATACACTCGCCTTCCTAGAAGTCATTGTCTTGATGTGCTCTTCAAAACATTACAGGCGCACTATCTTTGCAAATACAGATTAAAAGAAAAAATAGTGCCCTAACCGGTTTGGCTCAGTGGATAGAGCATCTTTCGGACTCAAAGGTCCCAGGTTCGATTCCGGTCAAGGGCATGTACCTTGGTTGCGGGCACATCCCCAGTGGGGAGTGTGCAGGAGGCAGCTGATCGATGTTTCTCTCTCATCGATGTTTCTAACTCTCTGTCCCTCTCCCTTCCTCTCTGTAAAAAAACCCAATAAAATATTAAAAAAAAAAGAAAAAATAGCATTCTGATTCCAAGCCAAAGGGACATCTACACATTTATCTACCATCACTTCCAAAAATGTCGCCAGGCAAGCTTCATAGGAACTTCTAGTGGACCTCTTAATGCATTCTTTATAGCAATGGTTCCAAATCTGTAAGTTTCTTTAAAACCCCTGCTCTATACTTCTGATTAAAACAATGTAGCAGCTAGATTTTCCTTAGTTTCTCACCTTCTTTTAAATCTTCTTTCTACCTTTTTTCTTACTTTTTTAGAGGAAAATGTTTAACTTTTAAACATCGCTACCTCTGCTCTTGATTCCATCTCTCCAGTCAGTCTTTTCTATCACATTCTCCTTCCTGTTTGCTGGAGAAAACCAAATCATACGTATCCCACCATAAAGCGACAAGTACTGTTCACATCACAATGGTGAATTTCCTTCCAGACTTATATGTCAATTTACAATTGGCATCATACTGTACCTAGTTTTAAGATACCAACTTTTCTGTTATATTCCTTATTGTTATAAACAGAAACTCTTTGTATGTTTCTATTTACTGTGTTAAGTTTTGTGTGACATTATTTTGCAAATATTAAAAAATCAGACCCTGGCTGGTATGGCTTAGTGTTAAGAGGGTTGGCTAAGCACAGAACGGTCTTGGGTTCCGTTCCCAGTCAAATACGTGGGTTGTTTGATCCCTGGCCCTGGTTGAGGCGTGTGCAGGAGGCAACCAATTGATGTGTCTCTCTCCTCACAACCCCCTCCCCTCCCTTCTAATCTCTCAAAAAATCAGTGGAATAATTAGGTAACAAAATTATCCTAGAGATGGAGTTGAGGCTGGTTTTGTAGTTATTGATAACCATCAATGGCTATAAACCCCTTTGTGATTTTTAAAAGCTAGGGTTTTCTTTTTGTTTTAGTTGTAGATATACTCCCCCAACATTGAAAGAATCTGATAGGTTTTCTGATGAGCTCTGTTTATGCCAGGTAAGTACAATTTGAAGAGCATGTTACTGTTTTGGCTAACTCTCAGTGAATGTATGGTCACAGCCTGGGATCCTGTTAACTCTTGTTTGTCCTCCTGTCCTAGTGCCTCCTAACTATGAGCCTTTTCTGAAATTCTAAGCCACCTTTCAGCATCTCATGCACTTCCATAATTTTGGCTGTTTCATCTGAGGTTTGTTTTCCTTTGGAGAAATCACTATGGTTAAACACTTTTTCTAACTGACTCCAAGTTTGACCTAAGTCAGGCCTGTCATTGTGTACTCTGTATGAAGTTAGGGCAAGATAATTGAAGTAAAACAGCTAACAGTGCCTGAAACAGTCATTTAACAAATGGCTTGTCAAGTCTGTTCTTTTCCAGTCTGTCTCTGAGCTCCAGGCCTTCCTTTCCCAGTCTCATTAGGACCTGGAGGCACATCTTTTTTTAAAAATATATTTTATTGATTTTTTACAGAGGAAGGGAAAGGGATAGAGAGTTAGAAACATCGATGAGAGAGAAACATCGATCAGCTGCCTCCTGCACACTCCCCACTGGGGATGTGCCTGCAACGAAGGTACATGCCCTTGACTGGAATCGAACCCGGGACCCTTGAGTCCGCAGGCCGATGCTCTATCCACTGAGCCAAACGGGTTAGAGCAGGAGGCACATCTTTGATATGGAGCTACTCTCAGACCCAAGTTCCTTTAGCCAAGGAATCAATAAATACTTTTCTTTAAAAAAATCTCAGCTGTAGAATGGCAGGGTGGCTCAGTTGGTTGGAGTGTCCCATACACCAAAGAGATTTTGGGTTTGATTCCAAGTCAGGAATAGCGATCTTAAAATATCTATAGTTAAGTTCAGACTCTGCTTACGGGAGGCCATCGATAGATTTTTCCCTCTCACATCGATATTTCTCTCTCCCCGAAGATTAAAAAAATCCTAGCCATATATTTAAGTCTACCAGACCTGAGGCGCTGAACCTAACTGCCCTATACCTGGGCTCCTGAGAATTAAAGAGAAAAAACCAACATGATATAGAAAAATGTTAGTTACATGCAAACAAGTGGTTAGAATAAGATGGAACTTGGAGACATTGTAGAAAATAGGTCTACCTTTCATCTACCTTTCATTTAGCGCCAGTATTCCACTTTTGTGTGGAAATTACCTAAAAATCGGTACAGCGGTCTGGTAGGGTTAAAGAGGTTTGCCAATTGGCAATCTATTGTTTAAAGGTAAAATTCAATTTTCCATCCTAGTTATAACTGAGGCAACTTAAAAAGCATTACTGTGGCAAGCCCGTAGTTCAGTTTACTTTTTGCAGTTCATGGCAGCAGAGTCTGAATAACTATAGATATTTTAGGATCCCTATGTCTGACTTCTGTTGGTCTAGAGAGAGCGCTACTCACAGTATATGCCTATAAACTTTTGAGTACAACACAAAACTTTCATTGAATAATATGCCCTGCTATAAAAACAAAATCCCCAAACCAGCCAACAGATCTAAATACTGTGTTTAGTGATGCAGGTGATTTCCATTGCAGTACAAACTTAACCTTGAATAATACCAGTCCAGAGCACATTGAATATTTCAGGGTGAATCACATGGTATTTCCATATCCCCCTGTCAAAGGGAAGAGAAGGACCCCCGCCCAAGCCCTCACTTGGCATCAGGCCTTACCTTACATCTTCCTTTAGCTTTTTATTTTCCCTGTAGTGAAGCAACCATTTCCATCTTCCATTTCCATTTAGTTTCTCCAGGGCTTTCACAATTTCCTTCAGTTGAACTACAGGATAGAATAAATTGTTTTAAGATTTTTGGTTTTCTACTCAAAGCCCAGAATTTATTACTTGTAAAAAAAAAAATACCTGTGTTTGAGTGTATACCATCATTGATTGCCACTTGTGTGGCTGTATAGGACCCCATATTGCATTTCAAAGATACAGCAATCTATGGCCCCTCGATTCAGCCCTACCTACTCATACTGCAGTAGGAGAGAGCTCTGCAGAGAAAGCACTGCAATTCCTAGCAATTAAAGCTTTGAATGTATAGAGATCACATAGGAGGTTTAGTTGCAACAGCAAAGTCCACGTTTCTAAATACAGAATCTACAAATATTTTTCACCTCCAATTTCCATGTACAATTCATGCTTGAGCTAGGCAGGTTTTGATCTTACATAAAAGTGTCTGTTCTGACAATCTCCTAGGTCAACTCAGGGTTAGGGTCATTGACTGCCCACGCAATGGATTAACTACATATAACTTAAGTAGATCCCCTACCCTGACAGATTCCCAATCTCCAGTTGACCCTTGAACTGCTCAGATAAAGTATAAGTAGATGCACATAGCTCAAACTCACGCTGTCCAGGGTCAACTATATGAGTGTTCAAGCAGATAATTAACACGACTTTCAGTAACCATTTTTTTAGATTTCCATATCAATAAGGTAGTAAGTGTGACAGCAACAGAAATGGAAGAGGACTGATTCTAAACAAAATCTGTAGCTGACTTCATTTGGCAAGTGAAGGAATCAAATTTAACAAAACCTCAAATGTGTATGACTATTTTAGCCACAATCCTGAGAGAAGGAACTTAGGAGCTGGTTTAGTGGTAAGGACAATCAGTAAAACAAGGGAGGCTAAGAGCATGCATATTGGGAATGAGAACTATATAAAAAACTGCTTAGCATAGCATACAGCAAAAATTAAGCCCTCAAGAGGTAGAGACTGACATTATTTTGAGTTGATATTTTTCATGAAATAGAACTTAAGAAACAGGAAAGGAAATTAAAAGGCTAACCTAATGTTAAAGTTTCTAATATTCTGTCATCTGACACCACAAAGCCTCCAGTCCGAAACAGCTCTTGGAAGGTGTAATTGAGAACATCTTCAGGGCTGTCTACTCCAGCGAAGATGACACTGGGAAAATGCTTCAGCTTCAGCAAAGAAGGAATCTATTAAACATAAAAGGATCCCACAATAAAGATAAATTTACTGGGTTTTGTCACTTTTCATCTGAGGGTTTCAAGATTCAGGACAGCTAAAAATACTTTAACCTTGATGACTGATAGATAATTCTACCACACATAAGGAATATTAACTCAGTTCATCATAAAACATGTAAATACAGTCTCTATAACTGCAAAGGTTGGAGATAGGGAAGAGTACACCTGAGGCTTTAGGGACCTGTAATCAGGCAGGTAACAAGCTAACACCATCATTCCCTGTCTTTGGCTTCACTTGGTGTAGGTGCTGTAGGGATCGGTTACTACCTCCTGATAGGCTATACCCATAAGTTAGATCTTCTTGGAAGAAGCAATTACTTTTATTCAACTAATAGGTAAATATAACAAAGAGTTAAGAAAAATTTTATAATTCCTATAAAAGAAAGATTTGTTACTATTAGATGAAAATTTATCAGTATCTTTTTATAGTTCTGTCTTGGTTAATTATTATGAATAAAAAAAGGCAGTGACAAGTCTGATAATTATAGAGTAACAAAGGCCTGAAATACATTTCTTTGTAAGAAAAAGGTTATTTTCAAACCTACTTGATGTAAATGTGATGAGATATCTTCATTTTTGATGATGACCATTAGCATATCATTCTCTCTGTGAAAAGCTTGACAGAAATGCTGAGGTTCAATTTCTGTATGGCCTCCTTTCCTCAGAATATTCTGAAAGATTTAGAAATAGCCATTACTAAAAAAAAAAAAAATGAATGCACAGAACTTTTATAATTTACCAAGAACATAAAAAAGCACATCCTATTTACTAAATTATATTCTAACAAGGCAACAATAAATGGCAGTTTGTCTTATACTAAGTGAGCTTTCACCTGTGAAAGAAATGACTCCTCAGTATCACTAACAGTTGGGTTTTATAAGTTTATTTCAAAGGCAAAAAAAAAAAAAAAAGCCTTGGCCAGTGTGGCTCAGTTTAGAGCATCATCCTGTGCACCGGAAGATCACGGGTTCAATTCCCAGTCAGGGCACATACCCAGGTTGCGGGTTCAATCCTTGGTCTGGGCACATATGGGAGGCAACTGATTGATGTGTATCACATCGATGTCTCTTTGCCCTTCCTCCCTCTCTAAAAATCAATTTATAAAAAAGGCAAAAAAAAACCCAAACACTATAGGGTTTTTTATGTCCATAAAGTATCAAAGGCTGATTTTTTTTTTTTTTAACCACCAGACTAATATATTGAGTCTCACCCTCTTTAAGGGGATTTACCTTGGGCATACTGTGATGCACTAAAAAATGTTTCTGGTTAAAATGTTTCTAGAACATACTCTTGAATATAATACCCATAACAGCTATGTATTACTTCGAGTATCATTAAATGGATATTGGTTTTGAGGTGAGAGAACAGTCTCTTGGATGTGGGGACTTGACCATGAAGATATATGTGCATGGTTGTTAGGCAATGCTGTTACACAGAATAGGGCTGTAATAGCCTGCTTGGGAGAGGGTAAGGTCATTTAATAAAAACATTAACTTTGTCCTTTGTGATTTTGACAGTTTGTTTGAAGGATTCTGGAGGTTTCCATTGCACACCTTGATGTTCCTAGTTATATAAGAAACACTGTATTTTGACTATTTCAGTTCATCACTCAAAATGTATGGGCCATGTATTTTCAAATAAATTCCTACAGGCAAGATTTCTTTTAACAGAGCCCACTAAAATGTCTAAATATAAATCTTTAGCCCTCACTTATTTTAATAATAAATTATTTGAATAAATACATTTTCTGTTCAACATTTTCACCAAACACTGGGGCATTCGTGTTGTGGGCTCTTGTCATGCATTCTGAATTTTGACAGATCTTCCTCATCTTACATATAAATGGGTCATGACATCCCATCATCAACCCAACGCTTCAGGATTCTTCAGGACTGAAGAATTATAAGGATAGCTTTGTGAGCTTTTAGAAACATTTTGCTTTGACAAGATTTTAATCCTGTTTATTTTGTGTGTCAACTTTCTCACTTGGAGATTAGTTTTATCTTTGCACACAATTTGTTATTTTCTGTTGTAAATAGTGGCCACATGATAAGATATTATGAAACGGCACATTCACTATTGAAACAGGCATGATGATATCTTGAAATATTCCTACCAGACCTATGATCTCTCCATATGAAAACCATATCATCTGTGCTCTGTAAAGGGTGTGAGAACTAAGATATTGCACTGTTGCTTTTGAGAAGGAAGCAAAAAGAATTTAAGTATTCTGTTCAAGGTGGCAAAACAGGGATATAGCGATGATGCTAACTCAATCTGACTTATTTTAGGATATGTTTCAGGAATAATTAGCCAAATAAAATTACAGTACACCCTTAATTTTTCAGACCTTGATTTAATGGACTTCAGATTTAAAAGACAAAATTTCTGGTCCATTTGTCATATGAGTGTCACATGTGAAAATTAACACCTTGTTAATTTTAAAATGCTTTTAACTAATAATTAAATTAACATTTTTTTGTTATTTCATTTTTAGCAAATAGGCCATATGTTGGGAAAAAAACACTAGTGATTTTGTTGACATAAATATTACATAGTTACAGCTATAGTCTAATATTTAAGTCCAAGTGTCACTGCTCGTAAACAATGCTGGGCAAACGATTAGCATGTGATCACACCACATCTTGCGAGGTAACTGGGTTTGTTGGCTCACTGTGTGACTTTCTGAAGTAGTTATATAACTCATGCTGGCCGGTGTTCCAATGTGTGCTAAGCCACACCCCAGCTGTGTGCATTTGTTTACCGGAGATGACTGGTGAATGCACACATTTAACCAGACCTATTCAGTATAAATTTAAAATTACAGTAACACATATAGAAAACTTTTCTGTGAAATTAAAGTTTTCATACATAGTTAAATTTAATTACACAAACATGTCTACATAAGTAAAAATGGGTTAACAAATTTGTCAATATTTTAACATACACATTCAGAAAACCTACTTTAATATATAACGGACTTTCTGCTTTAACAGACAGCCCCTTGCCTGAATTAGTCCATTATATTGAGGATTTTACTCTAACTTTAATTCAAGGTAAAAAGGAAATGAATTTTCAGGTTACTTTTGGAGGCCAAGCACCTTCTAAAGGACTGAAGGCTATTTACTACTTTTTCAATGATACTTCTTACCAAAATGGCGTGTAAACTGGAACAAAAACTATGGGGGTTTGGGTAGGTGGGTACAGGGACAAATCTGGCAACCATTTATGAAGTACCTTGGAGAAGAAAATAATCCTCAACAGGAAAATAAAATCTGTTACACAGAAAGATCAGACTCCATAAATTTGGAATAAACTAAATATTTTAAGATCATAATTAAATTACACAAAATAGGAGCCATCAGCTATCTTGAAGAAGAAAGTAACTAACAACGGATAGCTTCAAGTTAAAGCTTATCATCTATCATTTTTCCAGTTCATGCTATAGTCTAAATGCCTTAGCATGATTTCTATTAAGGCCCTTCCATCCTAAAATGGCCCTTTCTTGCATCTCTAGACTTGTTTCTTGACAGAACACACTATGCTCCAGGCATGATGACCAGCCTCTTCACTGGGCCTGTGTACTCTTACGGCCCTTTCAGAAACCCTCTCAAGGTTCCCTTATGCTTTTCTTCCTGCAGCACTGAACCAATGACTAAAACTGCCTGCTGTCCCTCTGGGCAGACTTCCAACCCCTGAAGGGAGTGTCTGTGTTACATCCACTGCATCCTCACACCTGCCTCTGGGAAGAGCAGGAAGCTGCTTTACATGTTTCATTAGCATCTACCTGATGTGCCCCTCTGTGATAACTGTCACACTCATCACATACAACATCTTCAGATGTCTAACGTTACTCAGTAACTCAACATTTACGGACTTACCAAGTGACAGATAATCTGAAATACAGGACTTCTCAGAAGTACTGACATAAGTGAACTATAAAACAAATCTAGCCAAACATTTAGAACCAGAACACTTACTAGTCTAGCCTTCCACACCTCACACAACAGGTCAACCTTGCTAACTTTAGTAAAATATCCCTGACTCCCTCAAAACAATTTCAAAGCACCTGCACCAATACACTTACCACACTTAATTTTACATTTACATTTAGTTTTGTTTCTTTTATCAGTGTTTTTCATTTCCCCTCATGTGTACATGTTAGGGCTCTAAAACAGACACTGAGAAGGACTGCTTTCATTTGAACTGCTCCTGCCACCAGTGTGGGGGGGGCCATGCTTTGGGCTGGTGCTCCAGGCAGGTGAAGATGGGGCTGGCATGACCAGGGCTAATTACACTTGGGGTAGTAGGTGAGCCAAACAGCAGGTACAATGAGGGCAATTGAGAACCCTTACAGCTTGAGAAGGAACTGCAAGTGTGACAAAGGTAGGATAGACCTGGTGGTACTGGACTGGAATTGGGGAGCAGTGTGCACCTATTTTTATTTTAAAAAGAAACATACAGGTGTTATTTGTACATTTAACAGATAGTTCTTGGCTGTTTGCTTGACGGATGTAGATGCAAAGGCATCTAGTAGCACTGAGTTCACCCACTGCCAAGTCTTGATTCTGTGGCAGGCAGTTAGACAGACATGAGCAGAGCAAGGATAATGGGCCAGATACACAAGGTCACCAGGGTGGAAGGTCCCGGGTGCCTAGCAATGGACATTTGTAGGGTCGGATCTCGTCCCCAGGGTGACCTTTCCTTCCCTAGCATTTTGTTGGTTTAGACCCCAATCCCATGACATTTCTTTCCTAGAGATAACATCTAGGCCTCAGTTGTGACTCAGGTCCAGGCCCAGGAAAGCAGCAAAACCAGACAAGCAACCCCACAGCTGACCTTAGGACCGGATGCATTGGAGAATGATCCCCTGCCCTGGCACCAACTAACTAATCAGTCGGGGGAGACCTAGACCCTGAAAGGACACACCTGGAAAGCTGATGAATATTCTACTGAGATCTTCCCTTAGGACCTCCCCTGAAATCTCCACCCTTAGGACTGAGGAACCAACATGCTCTCCCTCCCAGGAGCACACCTGCTATTTCCTTCCCCAGTCCCTTCTCTATCCTCCTCAGGCACGTCACCTTTACCTTCCTCACTTCTAAGCTCCAAGGGCCCTTCCTTTACCACTATAACTTGTTTTCTAAGCCCATTTCTTCTATGAAACTTCTGCCTCTCTGATTTTCCAAATGAATGTTCTCTTATAGTTTGAGTCTTGGCTCTGAATTCTTTCCTAGTTAGAACTCAAGTTCCAAGGTTGCTGAACCCAGATCTGGTCTGACCCCACTGGTCTAAAACCTGGTGCCATTCTTGCTGCCCACAACAATTCCAAATGCGATTCTTCACTAAAATGAATCACAGCTCCTTGGAGAAGTGGCTGACTTCAAGGCTGACTGAGGAAATACACAAGATAAGCCTGTAACATCACATTGTACCACAAAGGGAGAAGTTAGCCAAAGAATTATAGGGACTTGTCTAAAGGACACAGAAGCCAACTCTGAAAGGGACTCCCACTAGCTGGGTCTGGGACAATCTGAGCATTAACATATTAATAACCAAATGATAACTTTTGAGTAAAATAATATGGAACATGGGTTCACACTGATATAAGCAAAAGAACAAATGGAAGGGAACGAAAAGATCTACCCTACAGCAGAAGGCCAACTAAGGAATGTACAAGGAATGACAGAATTAGAATACCACGATGTGGCAACCATCACAATATCTGGTTCAGACAAGAATCAATCTGGTGGGTGAAAGTCTCAAGAAGAATAGGATATTTACATATTCTATTGTATCTCCCACTTACTAATAACTACAACATGCTTATTAACTGTATATTGGAGGGAATTGGTAGAAACTATCAACAAAATGAAAAATGTTAATACAGTAAAACCTTAATATAATGGATTAATTTGGGCAAGGTGGTGTCTTTTAAAGTCGAAAGTCGGTCATATATAATAAAGCAGGATTTCCAAATGTGTATGCTAAAAAATTGACAAATTAGTTTACTTGTTTTTACTTATTAGACATGTTTGTGTAATTAAAATGAAATATGTATAAAAAATTAATTTCACAGAGATTTTCTATACTGTAATTTTAAATTTATCCTGAATAGGTTTAGTAAATGCATGTATTCACCAGTCACCATGAGTAAACAAATGCACATAGCTGGGGCGTGGCTTAGCACAAATCAGAACACCAGCCAGCATAAAGTCACCTGAGAAAACAGAACCAATTACCTCGAGAGATTCAGTGTGATCATGTGCTAATCATTCTCCCAACACTGTTTATGGTGACTCTAACTTAAATATGTAGACTTTAGTTGTAGATATGTAATAATTATGTTGGTGAAATTACTAGTGGTTTTTCTAACATATGGCCTACATACTAAAATTTTGTTAAAAATAACAGTGAATTAACAACAACAAAAATAACCTGTTAATTATAAGCAAATTTTGATTAAAAGCATTTTAAAATTAACAAGGTTTTATTTTTCACATGTGACATGGACTGGAAATTTTGTCCATTAAATCTGAAGTCCTTTAAATTGAAACCTGCAAAATCAAAGTTTTACTGTACAATAGGAATCTGACAAAAACAGACACATGACAAGCGAAGACAGTATGATACTGAACTTAAGATGGGGTCTGTGGACTGAACTAGCACAGTGCATTAGTGCTCAGGTCCTGATTTCTAGGGTTGTGCTGTGATCATACAAAACAGTGTCCTTCTTGTTGGGTAATATACACAAGTTGCTTCCTTAGTGCAGCAGTCTCATATGAAGGTAATACATATGTATTAAGAGGTAATGGGACATCGTAACTGCAACATATTTTCAAATGGTTCAGAAATGTTAACAGTGGGGCATCTGGGTGAAATGTAAATAGTAAGGTATCTTTTAACATTCAGAAATGTTAACATTTCTGCAACCTTCATATGAATTTGAAATTATACTTTAAAAGTTAAAACAAAAGAGAGAATACTGTATTTTCTAAAAATATAAGAGAAATTATGAGGGGATAAAATGAGGAAGCTCATGGTAAATGGAGACGGATTCTGGCTCCTGTGAAGTTAGAATTTTACCATGGTTACATCATTTAAAATTAAGTATCATGTTCTTACGAGAACATCAGTTATCCTAAAATTCAATAAAAAAATACATCTAAAACAGTGGTTCTCAACCTTCTGGCCTTTTAAATACAGTTCCTCATGTTGTGACCCAACCATAAAATTATTTTCATTGCTACTTCATAACTGCAATGTTGCTACTGTTATGAATCATAATGTAAATAACTGATATGCAGGATGGTCTTAGGCGACCCCTGTGAAAGGGTCGTTTGACCGCCAAAGGGGTCGCGACCCACAGGTTGAGAACCGCTAATCTAAAACCAAAAGGGGTCCCTCTCAATTATCCATATTAATAAAGCAGTTTTAATTTAAATTATATTTTTATTGATTTCAGAGAGGAAGGGAGAGATAGATAGAAACATCAATGAGAGAGAATCATTGATCGGTTGCCTCCTGCATGCCCCCTACTGGGGATCGAGCCCACAACCTGGGCACGTGCCCTTGACTGCAATTGAACCTGGGACCTTTCACAGGCTGATGGTCTATCCACTGAGCCAAACCAGTTAGGGCTTAATAACGTAATTTTTAAAAATCTGCATTTTACCTAAGAACATATTTGTATTTGTATTTGAATTTGAGTATGTCTATACTGGTAACGTTTTGTGAAAATTAGTCATTCCATTAATTCTGGAACATCATACGTATCTTCAAATATAGTACCAAAGACAGATAGATCCTTGCAGCATAACATTTGGTATGCAGATAAAAACTGAGCTGTGAAACTCAAATACCACTTCATATATCATCTTTTTCTGAAGCCAAGAATGCTAAATTTATTATTTTAAGCTAAAATTAGATAGCAATCAAAATAATATAATCTATAAGTAAAAAATCTGTCACCTTACCTTTGTTCTCACAAAGAATGACTTGTCCTCTGTCTCAACGAGGTAAAACAGAAAGGTGCTTTTGCACGCCTCTTTCACGACACTTTTTAGTTTGACGCGCAAACTGTTACACAAGTCTGTAATCATGTCTTCATAGGAGGCTGATCTTCTTGGGGAAGATGAATACATCTCTTGAGATGTGGCTTCTCCAGAACCAACATTTGACTCTTTAACTCGCAAACTGACTTGATTGCCATTCATCACCACCTTGTTGAATTCCGCATATTCATTAAGAATAAGGGAGATATCATTCCGGGATTCCTTCAAAGTACTGTTATATTTCAGTTTGTTGAGGTGGAAAGAAACAGTCTGATTTCTTTTAGAATTTGTAAGATGATTTCTCCTGCGATCACATCTTTCCTTCCAAAAGGAAGAACTGTCTAATTTGCTGGACCTGTGGCGTCGCGGGTGCTGGCTCTGTGGCCTGGAGTCTGAGTGCATGATTGTTACCAAGAGGGTACTTCTGCTCCGGGATGGAGGATGGAGAACTGAGGATTCAGATGTTTTTGTCAAAGGGAAAGCTTCAGAGGCAATTTGGAGAGGTGGTTTCTTCAAAAAGTCATTGGTGGAAGACGGAGAAAGCTGGGAATCTCCATTCTTTATAATTTGCTTCAGTTTCTGTTGGAAACGCAGATATTCCAGATCTAAAGTGTTCTGAGTAAGGTTATCTTCTATCTGCCAAGTATTTGTCCAGGAGCTTAGCAAGCCATGTTTAGCAGTGAAATTGCGCTGCCTCCTCAGGCCGTGCAAAGTTCTCTTGGTACCTTTGACCTCTTTAGTTATAGTAAAATTAGTGTAAGTCCTGGGGATACCATGGAGATCTCTGATTTGGATGTAACATGGCACGCTCTTATCTTCATTCTTTGATCCATCAAACCGGTTTCGGGGAGGTATGCTGGTCTCCAACTCTGAAACCTGGGTAGAGTAGGCCCAATCGTCCTTATGACTATTGTTTAGGCTCAGGAAAGAGTCATAACCATCTTTCAAAGCACCTTCTTTCTTGTGACTACATTGCAAAGCACAGGAACTCTCCATGTCTAATTTGAGATTTCTACAATCACCAAAAAAGTCTTGATCAGAGTCTCCGGAAAGTGGTTCATAATGGAAGTCAGAATTCACACTAATATCCATGTCTCCCCCCTGGGTTTCAGAGTCCTCCTCAGTCCTGATCCCCTCACCAGAGCTTTTATTTTCCACCTGCTCTTTAGAGACTCCACAAACAAGAGGAGCACAAGATTTGGGAACAAAAAAGGCAGAAGGCTCTTTATTGACATTTTCACTGGTGACTGCTGTGTTTTGATGAGAATCAGCATATAGATACGTGGGGGAAAGTCCTTTATTCGACAGATCTTTTGTTTTGCATGTTGACATATCTTGCGGCATATGGGTGGTTTTTTGTTTGCCTTCTGGAGATGGGGTGTTTGATTCAGAGTCAACACCTCCTAGGTCTATGTTGTTTTCATGTAATTCAGCTTCGGTTTCACTATTCTTAAGCAAACTGGCCATTCTGACTACTGATATTTCCTGTGTTTGAAACCCTGTCTCTACGTTTATGGGTCTTGTAAAATGGGTTACGGTAGCACCACTAGAGGAAAAAGCAAGGTTGGGGATCTCTGGGTGCCTGTGTGCCTGTGTATCATCAGCTTCATCGACTGAGTCAGAGCTCAAGGACTGAACTTGCATGTAATTGCCTTCATTTATTTTCAAATCACTGCTAAAGAGACTCTTAATGCTTTTCGGACTAGTCTCCTGTTTTAACGATACATTCATTATCTCACTTGGACTATTTGTAGAAATAAATGTATCAACCAAAGACTTATTTTCCAAAATCTTTCTAGGACTATATGGGGGCTCACTGGTCTCCAAGGCAAGGTGATTTAAGCCTGAATTTCTGTTTTCTATACTGATTGGCTGCAATGGATTTCCTGACGTTACCAATTTTTCTAGAGAAGTCTTGAAGTCAGCTCTGTAACTGCCAGTTGAGGCAGGCTGGTTTAATTCTTTATTGCAGCATGGCACCTTTTCTGAGAAAGAGAAATCCTCATCATGTTCACTTGGGACAATTTCCTTAGTTACTTTGCCCAGAAGGGTTAAATGCTTATCTTTTCTTCCTGGATGATTATTTAATAGTAGAGGCATTTCAGCAGGAAGTTGTATTTGTGGTACCTGAGTTACGTTATTTTGTCCCATTGGATGGATAGGACCAAAAGAATTTTCCTTTTCTGTTATGGCCAAATCTACTGATTCAATGTGGGAGAATTTGCCACTTTTCCCACTCTGTGCATCGGGATGTTTTAAACTACATGGAGACACATCCCGAGATGGCTGTGTTTCTTCAACTGGTATCTGGGGGTCAGGACTAGAAGCTGGTGACACTTCTTCAATTAAAGAACCAAAGGGAAAGTCTGAAGTAACATTAACTTCCTCTGTAAGCTCAAGGGCAGAAGTATATTTAGCAGAATTCACTTCTCTGTTTTCTATGGAAGTCACTTCTTGTGGCTCAATTATGTCTTCATCTATATCCTGGAGTTCTAAATTTGGTAATGGGGCCCCCTGATGTTGCTCTGTTTCACCAGCTGGCATTTCTTCTCTGGGACTTGTAGGTGGTGATATTGTGAGAGTTAGGTCAATGTCAGAATCTTCCTCTAACTCTAGGCTTACCTCCTCTCCATTTATAGATAGGCTGGTTTGTTTAGCAAATGCGGACTTAAATGATTCAAAATTCCTATTTTCACTGTTTAGACCACTCTTGTCACTCTTTAATTCTAAAGAGCCATTTGATGTATTACTTCTTGATGGAATGCAGCTAAGTGAGTAATTTTTTTCCAACATGGCAGAGGCTGATGGTGAGGCTTCTTCAATCTGTGATGGCTCCAAAATCTCTTCTGAAGATATGCTTAAGAGACTCTTAGGTTGCAGAAAAAGTTCTTGAGAGAGTTTCATTTCTTCTCTGGGTAATGAAGAATTAGAACTTTTAACTAATGGTAATGCCTCCTTTTCCAATGAATTATCAGTTGGCAATGATGAGCCTGGAACAGGAATCTCTTTCTGTAATGAATACATTTCATTATTAGCTAGTGTCTCTCCACTTACTGAGGAGGCACAGAGGTACTTAGTGCCTTTTTCTCCTGACGTTGCTAGAGATAGAATGTCCTTAAGACCTTGTGTTTGTACCTTTTCAAATGTGGATATAGGAAGTCTAAAACTTCTAGCAGGTGATACTTGTTTAAGCAACTCCATATTAAAGACTGTAGGTTTATCAGCTCTATTTGCAATTTCTGCCTGTATTGGTATACATGCATTTTTTTCAAAAGTAAGAGTAACTGGTTCCAGATTAATCATTACATACCCCATATCATCTTTCTTTTCCTGTGAAGGCTGACATTCTTTGTTTTGGGGGCTGCTATGCTCGATAAGGGTCTGTAAACCACTTGTTTTTGCTTGCACTGTTGCATGGAAATTATCGACTTTGCTTTCAAGGGTGCTATACACAGATTTTTGACAAATCACTGACTGATCGCTGATCCCATCACAAGTCTTGGTGAATGTGGTTTGTGTGACTGTATCAAAAGAAGTCACTCTTGTGCTATCAAGTGGCTCAAAGGTTTTATCTTCACCAGGAATAGAAGGTCCATTAATTTGGATACTTCCAGTGTTAGAAAGCACAAGATTAGAAGTCTCTGTTTTATCCGATGACTCTTGTTTGGATTTCCCCTCAATGATCTGAAATGACAAAAGTAAAAAAACAAACTCAAGAGTCAAACAGATTATTTTAAACATTTATATGTGAAGAACAGAATAGAAAAGGATTAATTTGAGTTTGTCCATTCTTTTGAATTTTCTAATCTGTAAGAATAAGACAGGGTAAAGATCAAACAAATCCAACTCTTTTTAGACAGGCTTAAAATACCCCACAAATAGGAATTTGTTTTCTTTAAACATAAAACACACAGATGAGATCTCCAAAACTTATTTCACAGCCCATTTTTTAAAAAGGACTTTTAGGAAGAAAAGTGGCTAGCCCACTGACAATTTAAAGACTTGAAAATCTCTTATTCCTTAGCTATCTTCTTTGCTTATAACTGGAGATAATTTCTTTCTCATTGTAATAACTCCTATTCAACAGAGCACAATAAAACATAGTACAGTTTGCATGAATAAAGTGAACCAAAGGGACTGATGGTGAATGTGGATCTGGGTTAAACATTAGGAGAATTACTTCTGGATAATTTTAATAACCTCATAAACAGGTTTTGTTTGTTTTTTAAAGGCTGAAACATAGTCTTGTCCAGAATATAGTAAAATGGACTGATCATACAATTAACCATATATATTAACCATATATTAACTTTTGGAACATTATGATCACAGACTTCCTGCCATGTCTTGTGACGATCATGTTAAAAGTCAGGACCTGGGTTTCAAACCTCATTAAAAACATCTCTGTCTTGCCGAAACCGGTTTGGCTCAGTGGATAGAGCGTCAGCCTGCGGACTGAAAGGTCCCAGGTTCGATTCCGGTCAAGGGCATGTACCTGGGTTGCGGGCACATCCCCAGTAGGAGATGTGCAGGAGGCAGCTGATCGATGTTTCTCTCTCATCGATGTTTCTAACTCTCTATCTCTCTCCCTTCCTCTCTGTAAAAAATCAATAAAACATATTTAAAAAAACAAAAAACAAAACAACAAAAAAAACATCTCTGTCTTAACAGAAAACACTGAGCTGAGGAACTGGCAGTGTGGGAACTGAGACTCAGAGTTTTAAGAGAACATTACTGGCCAGGCACAAAACACAGGAAAGTCTTAATGGTAGAAGTTATTCTGAGAATTTTCCCACCCAGTCACACTGTGGCTGTTAATCTTTGACCACAGTCCCAAACCTTACCATGCCTGTGGTCTTAGGGAAATGCATTTGTGATAATCTTGATATGTTTAGACTAATATATATACACATACATATCTATCTATATAAAAGCCCAAGCGACTGTCGCAACCGAAACAACTGAATGGACAACTGAACAGGCTGCGTGGGGCTACCAGGCCACCAGGGAGGTTAGTGAGGGATGACGAAACGACTGAGCAGTGGGCTGCGTGGGGCAACCAGGCTGGCGGGGGGGCGGGGCAGTGAGGGGTGACCAAATGACTGAAAAGCAGGCTGTGTGGGATGACCAGGCCGGCAGGGGGGACAGTTGGAGGTGACCAGGCTGGCTTGGGGGGTGCAGTTAGGGGCAATCAGGCAGGTGAGCATTTAGGAGCCAGTGGTCCTGGATTGTGAGAGGGATGTCTGACTGCCAGTTTAGGCCTGATCCTAAGGGGTCCTGATTGGAGAGGGTGCAGGCTGGGCTGAGGGGACCCCCTGTGCACGAATTTCGTGCACTGGGCCTCTAGTATATATATATATATATATTTGACTACAGGTGAAGTGTAATGTTTCTAAAGCAAAGTGTGATCATTTAAAAGAACTGCAAAATTAAACACACAACTAAAAGCAACATGGCTATTGGTTTCTAATGCCCACTGTGCTGGAATTCTTTTGTGTCCTAGTTTGCCCACTTGTAGAACAAAGGAGTGGTATAGCATTTGTGTGTGCATCTTTAAAGTAAAGGCACAGTATCCAGGAAGATGATGGAAGATTTTTAAATACATGCTACAGAAATTTTTAGAAATCATTAATTTTAATACCATTACTTCCTTCTTAATACTCTATTTTATGTTTGCAAAGATAATTTCTAAAATTAATACTGATGATAGTTAATTACATATTACCACAACAAAAAATACTTTATAAGTAGTACATATATATCGGCCTGACTAAACTATAAATATTTTCTTATTCTAAGGCAGTAATTCTTAACTGGATTTTATGTATCTTTGAGAATCATATGAAATTTATGAACCCCATCAGGAGAAAAATAATATACACACAGGAAACTCATGTATGTAAGTATACACATAAACACACACATATGCACACAGAATTTAACATTAAGAAACACCTAGACCAGTGGTTCTCAACCTTCCTAATGCCGCAACCCTTTAATACAGTTCCTCATGTTGTGGTGATCCCCAATTTCATTATTACAAATTGAACATAATTAAAGCATACTGATTAATCACAAAAATAATATGTAATTATATATGTGTTTTCCAATGGTCTTAGGCGACCCCTGTGAAAGGGTCGTTCGACCCCCAAAGGGGTCGCGACCCACAGGTTGAGAACCGCTGATCTAGATGGTATAAATTTGAATCCTGGCTTGACAATTTGCTAACTATATGACTTCAGGCAATTTCCATACTCCTCTATGCCTTAGTTGTCTCATCTATAAGACAGAAAGGAATGGTCCTTACTCATCGGGTTTTGTGATAATTAGCTGAGTTAATGTGAGCCAAGGGTTCAGACCATTATCTGGTCCATAGCAATACGTACATCAGTCTTCATTATGATGAAGACGATGAGCGTCAGGAGACATTCACAGACCCTCTGAGGCTCACCCCTGTACCTGCAAATCCCCAAGTAACCCCAGGTATAGAAACACTGCCTACTCATGTGAAGACAGGCATTAAAGGTAACCAAAACCACGCAAAATTATTCTGAAATAAAACTGAGCTGAAAGTTTAAAAAGGCAGGCATTTTTGTCAATCCATTTACTTGGAATTTTTATATACAACTTCTTTGCTCCAGTTAAAATTTGGTGATCTGGCCTGTATTTTCTTTATTTATAAATAGTTATCCACAGACCCATGAGAGGCCTGGCATTTTATTTTCTGTGACAGTATTTTTTTCAAATATAATTTTAATATATTCAATTTTAATTTAATGTTTATCAAAGATTTCTAATATTTACTATTACCACATCTGATCCTTAAACACTACTCTGGGTAAAAGACATAATGAATATTATTCGCCTCTTTTTATAAGAAAAATAAGCTCAGAGAGCAGGTAATTTGTCCCAAATTATACAACAAACAAGTGACATAATTATGGTTGGTTCCCAGATCATCTGAACCCCATTATTTTTTACTTCTGTTTCTTCAATCAGGATGACAGATAAGCTCCACGTGCAAACTATGAGCAATACTCATGAAGACTAAGTTTTGGGCATTATAATGACTTACAAAGCTAGAGAATCTACTTCCCTAAAATAAACGAATTTGTTTTGAATGTAATTTTATATATAAAGAAGAAAACTTAAAAAAATGCCAGAATTTGTAGTATTCAGCTTTACTTACCTCATTATTACAAGAATAGATGAAATTCTGCTTTTTTGGAGTATCTGGATGATCCTCTCTTACAAAAACTTCTTTCTGTTCATTCTGTACCCAGAGTTCCAAGCCTCTTGCAGGTGGTTTAATGAAAGGAAGCAAGGAGTTAGTGTCAGGGAAGGACACTTCAGCACTATGACCTCTGGGAGCTTCCTCTGTCTCTAACAAAGGGCCTACAGAACACCTTTCCACACTGGGGGACTCCTCAATTTCACTGAATTGAAAAGATTCTATTGTGGTATTGATAGACACATATTTGGCAGGGTTGCTGTGTTCTACTACTTTTCGGGATGATCGTATGACTCTGTTTTGATTGCTGTAAAACAAAGCCACCCACATATGAAGTAAAAGCTTCACTTCTTCCACGTTATCAGGTAAATCAGTGTTCCAGGGCCTGAGATTTTAAAGAAAGAACATACAAAAATCATTGAAAATGGTTACTTTATTATTAACATAAGCAAGTGGCCTTCATTATTAACCTTAATTTTTGAGTTTATTTTTATTTTAAAAATTACACAGACATGCAACAAATAAGTTAAAAAAAGAAGTTCATTTAACAAATACTTGCAATGAACCTAATCTACTCGTTTTACTGAGACAGAGAAGAAAACTGAAAATCAAAGCTTTAAGTGACTTCTTTCAAATCACAAAACCCCTAAGTGTTAAAAACATGATAAAAACAGATCTCCCAACAGATTTTTCTTTGATAACATGCAAACTCTCGTGGACACAGTATACCTATTATCTAGATAATGGTTTTAGCAACTGACTTTGCTAAGTCTGGCTTACTCATTTCTACTTTTGTATCTCTCTTCTAATAGTTGGGAAAATCTAAAAATTAAAATGTATCCGTGGGCAATTCAGTGGAACTATACTATTTTCAGATTATAGTTCTGGAAAACCTCCTGAAACCAAAAGGGGTGACACAAAACAGTTCTGGCCACTGCTAGGCAAAACGATAGCGGAGAGCTGGATTGGGATGAGTCAGAGGGTCTACCAAGCTAGGCTTCAGTTAAATAGGATGAAGGCTCAGAAAACGACCTCATAAATACATGGGAACATACCAGTAAATGTATACTCTTATGAGTGTGAGCTCATAACTTCAGTCAAGGAAACAAATTTGACACAATTTAGTCACTCACATATGAAATATTCCACTAATAGGTAGTTCAATATCATTTCATACAGCTAATGCTTTCTGCTCTTAGTCTATTCATTAGCATGTGCCAGTCACCATGCAAAACCCGAATGCATGTAACAACTGTTGGCATCGCCTGGAAATTTGTTAGGCCTGTAGATTCTCAGGTCCCATCCCAAATAGACTGAGTTAAAATCTGTAGTTCAGTGAGATCCCTATATGAGTTGTGTACACAATAAAGATTGAGAAGCACTGTCCTGAAGCACAGGAACTTCTGGGTCACAGAAGCTAGTAAGTGGGAGAGCCCAAATGAAACACCGCATTAGTCCACACTCCAAAGCCCACACTTTCTGCCACTCTATTACTGCCTTGACCACTTTTTGAGGAAAATTACAGAACCCCCCCCCCCGCCCCCCCGATGAAAAATTGCTTACTCATAGCAATCTGATCAGCTTTACAAGCTAGAAGTAATTCTTTGAATGTTTCTTCTGGAATTCAGTCTGTAAAGCATTACTTCTATATCTCACTATTTTACATTATGACCTCATTTAAATATTATAATTCAAAGACTGCAAAGGCTTATGAAGGAGCACCTCAAAATGGCAAGCTATTCATGAGGCTAAAGTTACCTTGCAAAAGTTCTCCATGTGATCACGGATGGTGGCAGAACCAGCCTCATATTCTTTGGTGTCAGTAAACACAACTGCTTGATATTATTGAATCACTGGATTTACGTAAAATACTGCTTTCTCGTTCTTTGGTGTCAGTAAACACAACTGCTTGATATTGAATCACTGGATTTACGTAAAATACTGCTTTCTCCTTTCCCACAGTTTGGCACAAGTATCTCTACTCATTATACTTATTTCAATAGGAAATTTACCTCCATTTCATAAAGTGTTACTCCTACTTACCCATGTAATGCTCTTAGTACAGTTTTCTCGAGTGGGTTGTTGGTATATTTGCTGTCTAAGCTGAATACATAGTTTGTTTCACATTTGAAAGTGACCTTGAAGGAGCCGTCACAGCTGAACACAGTACGAGAGCAGTAAAAGTCTCTCAGGCTGGAAGACAGCAATCTGCTCCTGCGCTTGAGTACTGGGTCCTCAGGAAGCTTTTGAATAGGGGAGGTGCTCAGCTGATGCCGAAATGGCATTACTTTTCCCACTGGGGTTCCTGCTTCAGGGCCCTTTGTGCCATTCTTGGTGAAGGCAGGGCCTGGTAACCCTCTCTGCTGTAGCACCTTCTTTGAATGTTCTGCAAGGAGCAGAGCATAGGAATGTTCCACAGCAACAGAACTTTGGCTTGCATCTGAAGTTTCCATTGTTTCCTCAGGAAGTGCCGACTGGGCTTCAATAGGGGTCTGACTGTCAGGAACCAAGCTCTCTTCCTCTTGGCTGACAGTGGAGTCTGATGTCAGATTACTCTTCTTATCAGAGGAGGGCTTAGGTAACACTCCCCTTTTTTTACTTTTAACTCCTCTATGATATTCATGGTCAGATGTATTGCTCAGAGAATGTTCTTTAGAAAGCAAAACATTGCTTTGTGGCAATTCAGAAGAGCAAGGAAGGTTTCTGGGCTCAGATGGTGGTGTGGTAGAGGTAGCAGCGCTTAATGCGAGATCAGCTAACAGGTTTAGGGCCTGGGAGTCACAGTTGACAATGGAATTCTCAGCTGGAGCTTTCTGAGCCACTGTGATGTTTTCTGGTTGAGCTGTATTTATGCCAATAACATCTTCTTGCCCACATAATGAAATTTTTGATTGAAGCTGAGAAGCAGTTTCTCCTTTGGCTTCAATATAAAAGAAGAAAAAAACCATAGCATTTGATTTCATAAAATTAATTCCTTGCCATATTATTGGTTAAGTCAATATATTTAAGAAAAACATTGATATGCTGCATAAACTTTATATTAAAATTTTACCATCAGACTGAGGTCTCTTTCTAGTCTCATATCTATTATAGTGTAATTACCGGAGGAAGAAGGAAGTCCTAAGGAATGTGCATATTAACAAGAAATCACCCTTCAAAAATGCATGTACTGAACCACACACACGGCACCCTGCTCAGCTAAAGGAATATACGAACAGCAGAAAATAAGAGTCTTGCCCTTAGAGAGCTTACAATCTAGTGCAAACATAAGAACTTCAAAGTTTGAATTGTATATTATAGTATGATAACATACTTCCTTAAATTATTTCCTTTAATAAGTGATTAAAGAAACCACCTAAGTTCAAAATAGAGATGATTTTAACCATGTTGATATTTAATTATAATATGCAATGATATGAATAAAAAAGTTTAAAGTCATGAGTATTCAGAATAGCTAATTGATTTCATTACCTTTTAAAACTTTAATTTCTACACAAACATTTCCTCTCTACTCTATCTGCAAAGTAGCAAATCTCCTTATCTATTGATAATTCTTCTCTCTGCAGATAATCAAATCTACCTACTCACTTGTCTTTAATCAGAAAACTGACATTCTTAAGTGGTTTACTTGTATTGTCAGGACATAAATTCAGCTTTCTTAAATGCAGTTATCATGAAGGACAAAGTTCATAACAGGTGTTTTGGAAACATGAAATTCACTTTATGATCTAATGTGTTTATTGATACTAATTTCACTTTATCTTTGTTAACAGTATGGCTCTTATCACCTATGAATAAGGTGAACACAAAGTATATTGTGTTGAGTTCAAAAGGGTTTGTGTTAATAAATAAGCATAAGCATTTAATTACTGAGTTGCTAGAGGTTCTCAATCATTGGAAATATGATCTAATAATCTATCTTAAGAAATACAAGTAAGAGAATGCCAAAGGAATTACATAAAAAATATAGAGTTCCGTTACCAAAGACTATATTGAAAACTTTAGAAAGAACAGAAAACCATTAGTTTCAGTAACAAAAAGATTGAGCCTTCTTAAACTCATATTTCAAGTATAAAAAATGAAACAGATTAGTATAGACAATTAAGAAATAAAAGAAAATTAAGAGATTATTTAAGAGGTGGTAATCTTAAAATTTTAACTTGGAATGTGGCTGCACAATATATACAGACATTTGCAATACAAATCAGCCTATTTTTGAATACACATTTTCAAAACTTTTCATTTTCTGGACTCACTTTTCTGTCAATACTCAATTGCATACCTTCTTCCCATTAATCAATTAGTCTATAACTACCTGAGAGCCAAAATTCAAATGTCATGGCTAAGAACATAGGTATTACATAGGTATCTATACTCATTTATAAACTAATTGTAAAGACAGGATCAAACCACATCAAATGATTGAAAAGCAGGATAAATTTAATTCCATAATGTTCTCAAAAACCCAAAAGGAAATGAGAGAAAAGCGAGAGATCAGAAGATCAGAGCAGGAGGAAACCGGGACTGGTGGAGGGGAAGGGCACAGGAGTGAAAAGAGAAGAGGTATGGTGTCTGTGAGGAGGCACTGGCAGGAAAGGGACAAGTTAGGAAAGAGCAGGAGATAAATATGGACCCGAGGAGTAAGTAGGAACACATTAACTGTCTTGAGAGACAAGCAGAGTTTTTTGTATGGATGCCAAAATTACAAATACTGCAGGGCCCGAGCCAGTTTGGCTCAGTGGACAGAGAGTTGGCTTGTGGACTGAAGGGTCCTGGGTTCCATTCCAATCAAGGGCACATGCCCTGGTTGTGGGCTTGATCCCTAGTAGGAGGGCATGCAGGAGGCAGCCGATCAATGATTCTCATTATTGATGTTCTATCTCTCTCTCCTTCTCCTGCTCTGAAATTCAAAAAGAAGAAGAAAAAGTGGGGTTTGCAATATGGTGAGCGTTAAAAAAATATTTAGTCATCAAACAGTATTTTAAAAAAATTTAGAAAAGAAAAAACAAAGTCAACCCATAATACCATTACCCCAACAAAACCGTAGTTTCTTTCTTTAAAATCTCACCAAATAAGATTTTTTTAAAAGCTAAAAAAACATTAAGAGAGAAAGGAGATCAGGGAAATTAGACAGAAAATTGAAAGAAATATAAAGGTATGAGAAAATAAAGTCTTTGTTAAAACAAATTTAAAAAGAAACAATAGGACTCAATACTGGAGATAAAGTAAAATTTATAGATTTTGCAGATTGGAAGAACTGCACTATACACAGAAAGGAAAAGTTAAGAAGGGACGTGGACCTGGGAGAAGAGCTGGTGTGTGTTCAGTTTCAGAGATAAAGTCTGTAGAGAAAATGGAACTTTCAAGTAAAGAGGGTACGCCTAGCATTCAAATCACAGAACTAAAGCAGTCAGCTGAGTGTACATATAACTAAGCTTCAGTATCCACTTAGCAAAATTAGGAAAGTAAAACTTCCTTTAAAATAAATTTAATGCCTTTTAAAACCAAACATAGGATTCTGGATTACTATTTTGAACACTCTCTTTAAAACTCCCCTGGGACAAATAAAGTTGCAATTTACTTTTTATAACCAATTATAGTCCAGAAAAATAGTGCTAGATACTACTTGCTTGTGCATTTAGTCATAAAAAAGGGCAAGTTATAACTTTTGTAGACAGTTTATGTTTAGGATTTATGCAAACTAGTAAGTAGGTTTATTTTGTGATACTTGAATCTTTTGTAATTTCCTAATTTACAATGGGAAATCAAGTTACTTGGTCCTGTTAATGTTTGAATTAAAGAATATAGGAAGAATTATTGATAGGTTTTTTAACTGTTCTTATATTATTTCCACACACTATAATGCAACCTTGATTATTCAGCATGTGGTGTTAAATTTACAGGAAGTGTATTTCTTACCAGGTTGTGGCTGCTTTCTGATTCTGGGATTCTGATTGCCTTTTACTATATTTACCCTCTGTTTTTGTGGTGATTTCTTCACAGGTGGTTTAGCCCTCGGAACAGTTTTGACTGGAGATTTCTCTTGTTTCCTTGCCCTTTTAGGAGTCGTTGCAACTGGAACATCTTTAGAAATAAGAGCTTCTTGGTTTTTCGTATCCAATTTGGTTGTCTGTACAAACTGTGCAGTCAGCACCTCAGCACCTTATATAAAAAAGACACCATTTTTTTAAGGGTAAGGGGGCTCAAATATTTATCAGCGTAGCTTTTCCTTTTATTTGTGTTTTTATTTTAGGACATAACTATAGTGATGGGAAATAAAATTTTGGGTATTTCATTAAAACATACATATTTTAATAAAGCAAGAGTTAAAAGTTCTCATATACATATGAAAATATGAACTTGCTAATGTTGGTCTATATCCTTACTAGGTGGGGAAGAAAAATATTAGGGTAATAACTTTATAAAAACAAGGTATGACTTAAATTTTTCTAAAAATCTCCATGATCTTTCGTAAAGTAAGCCTGGATATACTAGTTCATAGCACTGGGAGATAGATAATTCATTGTACACAAAAGCAACACAGCCCCTAAGAGGTGATATGGTTAAAACTATAACCACACCACATAAAAGAGATTGTACATTCATAAAGTGCCATCTTACATATTTTACTTTACTACTCATAAATATCTAAGTCTTAATACTACCTCAAAAAATCATTTTTTAAAGACAAGACAGAAAAAAATCACACTGGACAAAGTGTTCACCTGATTTAATTTCCTACAAATCTATTTTAACTGCTCATCTCTTTTATAAAATGCTCAGCTTTGCTTCTCACATGGAAGGAAGGAAATAGCTAAAGATAGAGGCACAAGAGGAAAACAAAACTAGCGACTATCTGCTTATATAACACAAAAGAAAGTGTTTCAATTTTTTAAGTTAAAAAAATATAAGTGCTCCCTTTGAGCACTTATTAGTATGTTTTACCCATTTGCTTTGTATAATTTCAGTTGTTTCGCAGCAAAAAAAAATTTTAGCCCCAAAGGCATCATCCTATATAATAAATAGGTAATATGCAAATTGACCACCACACCCTCGCACAAATGGCCGTCCCCACGTGGCCATAAGATGGCTGCCCCCATGTGGTCACAAGATGGTCGGCAGGGGAGGGCAGTTGGTGGGGGGGGACACCAGGCCTACAGGGGAAGGCAGTTAGGAGCGACCAGGCTGGCAGGGGAGGGCAGTTAGGGGTGACCAGGCCAGCAGGGGAGGGCAGTTAGGGGCAATTGGGCTGGCAGGGGAGTGGTTAAGGGGTGATCAGACTGGCAGGCAGAAGCGGTTAGGGGTAATCAGGCAGGCAGACAGGTGAGCGGTTGGGAGCAAGCAGTCCTGGATTGTGAGAGGGATGTCCGAGGGTGCAGGCAGGGCTGAGGGACACCCTCCCTGCTTCCCCCCCCCAGTGCACGAATTTCATGCACCGGGCCTCTAGTATAAAATAATCACACATAAATATTGTCAAAATTTTAAAATTACATTATACAGAAAACAATATTTCTAATTGAGAACAGAAAACAATACTAAACAGTTTAAGAAATTGGGATGACTGCTGATGAAATGTAGAGAAGATACCAATTTATTTCTTGGGGGTTTTAGGAAAGCTTTAGAATCTCTTAATATTGTACATGTCTTTGGGTCCAATTATTTCCCTCCCTAGTAAACTATTACACATAATAAAGCAGCATATATATTTTTTTAAGGAATAAGACCTAGCATTCCGTTATACATTTTTAGTATAAAGGAATATAAATACATTAAGAATATAAATCAAGTAGGAAAACAGTTATGTCTAAATCAAGAAGAGAAAGAAAATAAGGGTAGATGACCAAGACATAGGAGAAAGTTTTAAACAATTGCACAAACAGAAAGGGAAGATCTCTCACAATCCTGAGAGGAAAAACTGAAACATGAACAAGGTGTCCTGCAGGGACTTTTCTGTTTATTAGTGTCACTCAATGCCATGTTTCTCAAATTGCATGCAATAATCCATCGATGGATTATAAAATAAAGTTAATGGGTTGCAACCAGAATTCTTTCTTAAATGAAACAAAGTGGAAGAGAAAATATCAGATTGTATTACACATAGGGTAAATGTCTTTTGAAATTTTTGTTTTAGTCATGTGTGAATTTGTGTGTACTGACTACAAAATAAAACATATTTCTTATAGTGGATGAAATTTAAAACATCTGAGAAACAGAAAACATGTATGTTGAATTACAGATAATTTATTTAATATCTTAAAGCAAACAGGTTCATACAGAGCAGAAACAATATGGTTGGCCTGGAATTTATTTGTAAGTAGTTGTTTAGTCTGATTCACTGCTTTCTATTGTCATAATTTCCAACATTCTCCTAAATACACACATATACACCATTTTCTCAAACTGTAACAGGCCAAAAATAACTATTTGTTGAACCACAGCGTAAAATCTTAATCATCTAGAATCCTGGGGCTCTGCATATCCCTGATGTTTCTTCTCTAAGCACCAAAATTTCTAGAATCGAAATACTATTGATAGGGTGGCACACCTTTTTTGTGTGAAGGGCAGACAGTATGTATTTTCAGCTTTGAAGGTCACTGTTCTTATTCACAACCACACATCTCTGCCAAAGGTATAAAGCTATGATGTATATAGCTGTGATGTAGCCAGAGACAACCGCTTGAGGAGTCCATTGATTACACTTTGCTGACTCCTTCTCTAAGGGGTCATACAGCATATAGTTCCCTACTTTTCAACAAAATACACTACCTATAATCTGAGATGGCTCTAAGGCAAAATCGTGTTGTTTGTTGTGCTATGTTCACTAAAGTGCATTTAACTAGAGACTAAATAGCTCTAGACTCTGATTATTACTCAATTTTCAGGGGGGCAACAAAGCCACTTGTGGAACTGTCTCAATACAGGCCCTTGTGGAACTGTCTCAATACAGGCCACTGGACATTCTGACTCAACAGATCTATGGCAGGATCCAGGTGACTGTTTTTAAACTCTGACACACATAAAGGATTAGAAATCCTACCCCAGACTGTTTTAGTTTTGAAGGTTCTAGGTATTTCCCCCACCTCTTTATACATGTATAAGCTACTCGTTATTACTTTTTGCTGGTTTTGGTATGCCTGATTTAAATTTTTAAAATTTATTGATGAGAGAGAGAGAGAGAGAGAGAGAGAGATGAGAGA